ACGGGCTTGTCTGTTTGAATTCTGAAGTCCCAGAGCACTTCAGCTTCTTCCTTTTCCGTGACTTTGTCTGTTTTGTGGCCCCACCCGCTCTTGCTTGTGGGCAGATGGTCTTTCTTGCAGATCTTCCGATGCACCAGTGTTGCTACTTTCTCATGCTGTTGTGGTACAGTCAGTCTGTGCGATCGTCTTGCAGCAGACAACCGGGCGGTCCACCGTTTCTTCAGCTTCTTTGCAGAGGTGGCATTTGCTGCCTGTTGCTGTCTTCTCGATTCTGGCTTTACGTGCATTTGTTCTTAAGTCTTGTGCAGCCAGAAGTAGCCCCTCTGTCTCCTTCCTCGACTTTCCTGCTCTTAGCCACCGCCAGGTCTTCTCGTTATCTGCTTTGCCTGCTCGTTTTTTTGTGTACTGGCCGTGTAATCCTTGGCCTTGCCGTGTCGCTTTTCTGTTCTTCCTTTGGACTTTCCTGTAGGCCTGTCTGGCCTCCAGTATTCAGTAAGCCTTCGTGGTGTACCAGCTTCAGTGCATCTTCTTCACTGTCTCCAGATATTCTTCCAATGCCCCTTTCTCTTCTTCAGCTGCCTGGTGTACTTGCAACATTCCACGCCCACCTAAGCTTCTTGGTAAATAGAAGCTGTCAACATCACTGCATGGATGAAGGGCATGATTCATTGTCATTATTTTTCTGGTCTTCCTATCCAGGGCTTCTAGTTCTGTTTGAGTCCAGTCCACTATTCCAGCTGTGTCTCTAATGACTGGGATTGCCCAGGTGTTAATCACCTTGATGGTATTTTCCTCCACTGAGTTTGGACTTTAAGGTCTTCTTCACTCTCTTGATGTAGTCACTCCTAACCTTCTTCTTGACATCAGTGTGCTTGATGCTGTCAGCCTGAAGGATGCTCAGGTATTTGTAGTGATCTTCTTTATCCAGACTCTTGATGTTATTTCCACTGGGGATCATGATTCCTTCAGTTTTCACTATTTTCCCCCTGTTAATGGTAAGGGTGGCACATTTATCCAGACCAAACTCCATTGGAATATCTTGGCTGTATATTTGGAC